AGGAGGGAGAGAGAGAGGGAGAAGAGGAGAAGGACGAGCACGAAAAGGACAAGGACGAGGAGGAGGAGGGAAGAGTTAAGGAAGGAGAAACGGAAAGAAAAAGCGGTAAGTTGGGCATTTCTTCCGCTGGTTCTCCTCCTCTTAGGGTATAAGTCCCATTTGCCTAGAAAACAAAGGGATATTTTGCCTCTTCGGGGACAGCTGGTGGTGAGCTGGACGTTGACAGAAAGCGAGCGGGGGCCAACGTCTCTCTGCGCCCTTTTCATCTTCATTCAGTCGACAACCCGCGCGGGAAGAGCTAGAGCTGCCAGACCGAGCAAGACAGCTGGGAGACAGCAGCGCCGGCGCCTGCAATCTACCTAGCAACCGACGACGCCACCGCCGGCGCGCTAGTGACGTCAGAAGCGGGCGCCACACACGAAGGGAGCGCGGGAGGCGGAGGTGGCGACTTCTCTGTCATGGAGCTGGTGCCGGAAGCGCGGGAATTGGGTCTCTGGGCGGCTGAAGAGATGGGGGTGCCCGAGGCAGCCCGTGCCCCGGAGTCAACGCTGCGCAGGTGAGGACGCTTCAGGGGTGACGGCTCCCCATCTGGTGACAGAGGCTCCAGGAGTGAGAGCCCAGCCTTCATCCACGAGGCTACTCCCCCTACCCCCGAGTTACTGAGGGCTCATCACCCCGGGAGTAGTATGTTCAGAGAGAGGATTCTGGATTTGAGTGAAGAGCCCCGGTGGTGACCCTCACACTCCCACCTCCACTCCGGGATGCCCAGATCGGGATCTCCGGCACCATTGAGTATTGTCCATCAGCTAATGCAAGCCCATCCCGTTCAGCCAAAGTAAGGCTGACCCAGCGACGCCTCCCCACCACCACCCAACCCCAGCCAGGAGTTAGTACTAACCACCCACATTGGGAACTGAATCTGTAGGAGTGATGGCCCATGTCTGGTCACGTACATCCCTCACCCCACCTTGGGAAACGTCTCCTAACCCTCTCCTAGGAGAGAGATAGCACCGCACCACGGAATGAGTATAATTCCCATGCTTAGTGAGAAGGCCACTCTCTCATTGACTAAGGAGATAATATCTTACCCTCCAAAGCATGGGTCTTCCATCCTCCAGAAGTGAGTAAGGACCCTACCACCATCACCCTGGAAGTGACAGTCCTCCACCTTTGCGATACCCCGGCATACTCTTATGCACTGTCCCCACAGGCTGTGTCTGGGCCAGGGGGCTGACATCTGGGCCTACATATTGCGGCATGTACACAGTCAGAGGTGAGCCAAGCTGGCTAAAGGGAGAAGGAGGAAGGGGGACACAGGCAAGTCCCAGTCTAACTCCATTCTCCATCTCTCTGTTTTAGGAATGTCAAGAAGATTCGGGGAAATCTACTCTGGTAGCTGCTTCTCAGATTCTTCCCTTTTATCTTCCCCACTCCTCTGTCCTTGTCCCCACCTACAGCCTCACGTTTTCTGCCCCCTCCCTGGAAGCCCCAGTCATCTCCTAACTAGGGTCTCACTTCTGCAGGTATGGCCACCAGGACCGTCCAGAGGTGAGAAGCCTGTGCTGTAAGATTCTCTTTCATCCAAAAAAGAGCTTGTAAAAACTACAATAGTACACAGGATCCTAATGAGATAATTAATAATGTGAAATAGGAAGTAAAGGGCTAAAGGTGTAGGGAAAGTGGGAAGGGTGGGGGAAAGGGAATAAGGGAGAGGAAAAAAATATGAGAAACTGAAAAAATGGAGATAAAGTGTTTGTAAATGGGGAGGGGAGGAGGGGTGAAGGGAGGGCAGGGACAAGGGGAAAAATGAGAATCAAGACCTATTATGTAAAGGTACAGAATCCCAAGGATGAATGTAATTGTATTGTATACCTAGATTGTACCAATAATCTCAATAAAAAGAAAAAACAACAATAACAACAACAAAAAAGAGCTTGTAGATCTTCTGGGATGATCTGGCCTGATGCTGGGCATGCTGAAAACACAGGGTTCTCAAGCAGCCCTAATCCCTGTGCCCTCCCAGGGTTTACAGTCCAGGGCAAGTTAGGCAAGAGTGGGCGAGGAAAGATATGTGGCATCAAAGGAGGTGAGGGTAGATGCTGAGGCCGGAATGAGAGCCCAGATGACATCTAGGTGGAGGCTTCCAGAAGGCTTCAGTATTCCAGATGTGGAGTTCAGGGAAGAGATCACGACTGGCAAAGAAATGTGGGTGTCACCAGCACAGACAGAAAACAGGTTGGAAAGTCAAGTGTGGTGGTGCACACCTCAATCCCAGCACTGTGGGAACCCAAAGCAGAAGGATCACAAGTTTGAGCCCAGCCTGAGACCCTGTCTCAAAAAAAAAAAAAAAAAAAAA